GCTCTGTTGTCCTCCATCCATATTTTCAGTTCCAGGCTGAGTCATTTCTACCTTCTCCTCTCTGTCAACGCTCTCTGGTTTCATTTAAAAGAGTCGAATAATCTTAAATATCCTAAATATCTGAGTTAGTGTTTTAGGGATAGTGGAACTAGTTTTTAGATTAGTGCTGCCCACCACTGTCAGTTAGTTGTTAATTAATGCATCCATTATAGTTTCTGCAAGTTTCATTCAAATGTGTCTACTGGATCAGGACATATTTTGCTGACAGTAAACGTGCACACCATTTTGTTAGTGCCTACTGATAGCAGAAAGGATGAGATTGAGCTTGTTACCGAAATTCTTGACCCAAAATCCCAGATAGGCAGTTTGGTGCTAGCCAACAGTTTGGTTGCCCATTTCACGGGGAAATCCCCACGGTATAAACACTTCTTGTCTAAATCCGAGCAGCGGTGCTGTTCTGGTCACGTGTTGCGTCTGAATGAATCACTCTGCTCTGAACAGTGAATGAGAAAGCTCAGCAGGAATCTGATTTCTTCTGGCTGTGGTGCTTTAATGTCGGGGTAATCTTGGGCATTTGTGACTCACCATGTCCTTAAACACGTACTTACCGCAACCGCTCGGGTAAATATAATGTCAGCTTGTTCTGTGTGACTCATGCCAATCAGACCCAACGCAGTCTAAGTACGGCACATCTCAAATCCGGAGGAAAACACTGTGGCAATCCAAAGTAATGGACTCTATATTGGGCTCTGGGGATTGTGTCTGTGTGTGTCTCTCACTATGTGGGCTGGTGTGTCCATGTGGGAGCATTTTGTGCGCTGGTCTGTGTGCGCATGTTTGACTTCTTCGAAGAATAGTAACCATTTGTTTGTTCATGCCACCCTGGTTCACAATCACAATGAACACTGGTGTGTAGGCCGTTGTGCGTCTGCGTGCATGTGTGTGTGTGGCCAGTGTTTACTGTGGAAACCAGTGTATCAGGAGGGAGCTCCCAGGAGGCGTCAGCCCAACAAACAAGCTCTGCTGTGTTGCAGTTCAGACGTGACCCTGTTCAACCTTTCTGCCTGCACAAAAAGAAAAATTAAACAGGAAACAAACAACAACAAAAAAACAACAACTAATATTTAATTGATATTTAATGAGTAAACTGCCCTTGAGTAAGAAACTATACACTGAAAAAAATAACTTGTAAGATGTACTTGAAAAAATCCTCTAAAAATTTGCACTAACGTTTGTTAAGTAAATTTAAATGCCACAAATTCATGTAATATTTACTCATCAATATCTAGTAAAAGTTATTAAGAATATAGTTGAAGATTTGTGAATAAATCAGGTAAATTTTACTTAATTTGCTCARTTAAATCTTGTAACAGATACTTGATTAAATTAAGTAAAATTTACCTGATTTATTCACAAATCTTTAACTATTTTAATAACTTTTACTAGATAATGATGAGTAAATTTTACATGAATTTGTAGCATTTAAATTTACTTAACAAACATTAGTGCAAATTATTACAATAATCTTCTCTTATAAGTTCTTTATAACAGTGCACATGCATCAAACACAGTATTGTAGCATGACACCTCACAGCTACAGAGAGGTGTAGCTCATGTTGTAGTTCAAGACTTCACCACCAGGTGGCGGTTTTGAAGAACCTTTATTGGATTCTTCTTCATGAACAACACAGACAAAGTGAAACTCACAGGTCTTWTTAATGACTAGGCCTACCACTCTCACTTATGGTTACTTCTGCTGAACGCTTTAACACAAGTTAACAAACAATGAACACACAAATTAGAGTAACACAACAGACTAATTGCTGAAAGAACAATGTTAACCAATTCCCTAAAATGATTTAACAACAACAAACATGAATCCTATCCACAATCCTCCACTGCAGTCACATGACAAACAGCCAAACACAGCAGAATGCTACAATATGCATTCCCTGTTCCCTGACAACTAAATATCACCTACATTATGTCATCAAACTATTGCACACCAACAAATGTGTTCAAGCAAAAGAAACCAGACAACTTATGTTTTATTTCCACCATGTCTTGTCCTCTCCTTGAAAAGTGAAGCAAGGGAATGAGGAGCAGCAGCCTTTGTGTGTGCATGCAGCCTCAGTTTTAGTCCAGAAGAGTAGAAGTTACTTAATATATTCATGTTTATGTGCTGTCCAGAAAAAACACTGAAATTATATTAGCATTTACTTTTTTTGTACAGTAATATTGATATATAATATAATGTGTATTGTTTATTTAGTAAATTTTAGTAGTTTAGAGATTTTGATATTTTTTGTAAAATTTAAAATAATTAAATAAATGTTACACTCAAAAATCCTTTTTTTCAGTGTAGCTCATTTGATACAAAATTACATGAACCTAAAACAGAAAATACCCGTGCTGTGAATTCTGTATAAAAACCATAAAGTTCAGCACATTCCTCATAAGAATGGCTGCTGAGAGGTAGATACTGCAGGGAAAGAAAGAGTGCATCCTCCCCCTCACATGCAGAAGCAAACTGGGCTGATTTGTTGCAACGATAGTCAAGCTGGATCGTGTCGAACTGCATGAATGACAAGCTGGGGGTTTGGGAGAGAGAGAAAAAATGCACGTTCAGCAAATCTTCTCTGTAAAAGAAATAGGATAAAGCTATTTTTGGCAAGCTAAGTATATAATGAAGTAGCAGGGTGCTGTCATTAATCACAGGTTTAGGTGACTTTGCTTCCATCCAAAACTGCGTTTCACAGCGATTTAGACCTCCAACTGCTTGTTACTGCAACGTTATTAAACACATTGTTTTAATTCAGCCGAATTCAGTTTCGCTTCGTTTCCAAGTGAATTAGCTGAAAGAGAAGCCACAGAGGATGTGCTGCCTCTAACAGGAATGAAACATTCATGGCACCTTGACTGCACATTAATCATCATCAATAAGTGTTAATTGGTGTGGTGGAACATTCACCTTGTTAATCACCCCAAAGCAACGCGCCGACGGTGGAAAATTCATTTTCTGACTCCCGTGGTTGCGTCATGTGGCATTACCCACAATGCCGTGTGTCAGCGGTGCCAAAGGCTTACAGGGCCAGTCTGTCACTGTGTCCCAGTTCTGCGCCGCGTCCTCACCAGAGCCTCGTCTCATGTTGACTCGCACACGTTCAGAAGTGCCAAATGCTCAAGATGACACGCTTCAACACCTACAGCGAGCCTCACACTTTTCACTTTGCTTTAAATCTGGACTCTGAAACACTTCGTGCCGTTATAAAACATGAAAACAAACTTTGATTCAAAAACACTTACTGACATTTAGGTGTTTTAGTTAGTATATTTGTGGTGGTTGTGCTAGATTGGGTGGATCAACTGTTCATGTACTATCTTCATGTACTTTTTTGTGTGTTTTAAAGTAAAACATGAAAACAATTAATCAGGTGATTTTCCAGTCCTTCATATACTTTAAAAACTATAATTGATAATTTGTTTCTTGATAACGATTTAAGCAAAGACAAGCTTTATATTTGTTAGCGCACCATTTGTTGGTTTCTGGCGCAACAGGAAATCATCATGTCCTGTTATATTTTCACTGAGCAYTTTAGAAATGGACAAAAGTCTTATTTACAGGAAGTCGATGTCGATCATGATCAAATTTGCTTTTGTATTTAAAATTATGAAAAATAAGACTGTATTACAGCCATAATACATTTAGGAAAGTTTTWTGTTTTTAAACAGTTTTCTTTCAGCCACTATAAACACTTCAGTCTTTTCAGGCATGGCTTCATGTTAAAACCATTTATTTTATTTCACATTTAGCCGATTGAAGCAAAAATTAAACACTGGATGTTTTATTTGTTTGTATGGAAGCCCATTTCCGCCACCTTGATAAAAAATAAAACTTGTATCTCGTAATTATGACTTAGCTATCTCATAATTATGACTTAGCTATCTCATGAGATAGCTAAATCATAATTATGAGACACTATCTCATAATTATGACTTAGCTATCTCATGAGATAGCTAAATCATAATTATGAGACACTATCTCATAATTGTGAGATAGCTAAGTCATAATTATGAGATACAAGTTTTATTTATTTTTTTATCAGGGTGGTGGAAATGGGCTTCCATAATTTGATTTTAGTTTTACGTTTAGGTTTAGAAAAAAACACGGTCGTTTTTCTTTTTGCGATTTTATTTTGAAACTCAAACACCAAAGAACGAATCGTACGCTAAATGATGTTTTCCCCATTTTTAAAAAATAAAAATGTGTTTATTTATTTATGAAACACATTGCTAAAAAACTTCCACTGACACGCCTCAGTTTTAAACTAAGGTGTTGCTTCATTAAAGCCTGTGTGGAGGATGATCCTTACCATGCAGGCTTTAGGCACTGCTGGGATTCGAACCTAGGATCTCCTGTTTACGAGACGGGCACTTTGACCATCTGAGCCACAGCACCTCTTCTAAAAGCCTGCTTGTTACGTTTTTACATTATTTCCAGCGTAATTCATGAGTTATTTGATTCAGAGAACAGAAAAACACACTCAAACAAAATTGTTCTCGCTTCATCTTTATCAGCGGGCTTTAAAAATCTGTTTTCTACATGCAGAAGAGGTCAAGCCTGGATAAATCTCAGCTAAAATTAAAGTGAGTCCGGCTCCATGGAATGCACATCATAATCAGTTCAGTCCCAAACAGAGACCCGGAGCACGATGGCACTAAGGGATGCCACAGCCAACACACACTTTAATAAAAAGTGTGTGAGCAGCGTGAGGTGGATGGACGGTGCCAGGCTGGATCGGCGCAGAATGGACCGACACCGGTGGTGAGCTAATGACACGAGCCTCAAGCTGTTCTCACACCTGCCACAGCTCTGCCTCATTCGCTTGACATTAACGCTGAGGGAAGGGGCCATCTCAAACCGCACACGGACACACAAAGCTGCTCATGCTGCACACACACAAACTAATACATCCACAAACTCTTCATCGGTTGTGCACAAAACAAACAAATAGGCCATTATCCTTGAGTGGCCAATTAGGCGGTAAATGAGAGAGCTGACTTGTTAGTGGAGGAAAGAACTCATGACTGAATGACAGGAAGTGGAAAAACATGAATGTTCTTGGTTGAATTAAAACATTTCGCTCCATTGTAAGGTAATTACACAAAGATTCCCCTAAAGCTTCATATGTTTCACTTCATGCTTTCATCTGGTATCAACTGTTGCTCCAATTAGTCTATTTCTGTTAAAGGATGAAGAGAAGGAACCTTTTTCAAGGTTTTAATGAGGTGATTTGTTAAAAATACATTAAAGACCAAAAAGAAAACCTGTCAATTTAAACGTGTGCTGAAATAAGCATCACCTGACGGATAAAATAAAAATTACTGACAGGAGTTGGACAATGCAAAATTTGTCAACTTTGTTGCATAGAAAAAATGATAGGTAATTAATAGGGCTGCAACGATACAGAAAATTCACAGTTCGGTTCGGTACTTTGGTCTCATGTTGCGATATTTTTTCGATACAAAAAGAGAAATTTCCATGCCCTCTTTAACTTGTAATTTATTTAAATTAATTATGAACATTTGTTTCACCTCATAAGTCCAGTTTTTAAATTAAATGTTGCTGAAACAGCAAGTTTCTCAGTGGATCTGTGCTCCACAGTGCAGCCTAGGTGGAGTAGTCGAACACAGATCCACTGATCCTTCAACACAGAGCATCTTCAGAAGACAAGCTGATAAAATAAATTTAAGTATTGTTCCATACAAGTGTGTATTGAACTTAAAGCACTTTGATACGGTTCGATACGGGTACATGTTTTGTTGCACCCCTAGTAATTAATTACATTTTCTTAAGTACTGGTGAGCCTTTTGTTTTATTAATATTAAGAGTAAATAAAATAAAAATTTATATTAATAAACATATAAAAGGTCCAAGTATGTACTGAATTATGTTCATTAAAAAGCTATAATGTTGGAAAAACAAATTTTATCTACAGTATATATTTTTATTTCACAATTAAACTGTATAGATTTTTATAAAAACACTTTTGTGTTGGAGTTATTCAGTATCTCAAAACTGGAAGCAGTTAGTTTTATTGCAAATGGAGAGATTTCCCACAAACTGAGACAACAAAGTTTCAAATTAAAAGCATTTTTTAAAAAACAAATTAGCTTCTTTTCATGCAACAAATCAGMAGCGAATAAACCTAATGTGTGTTATTGAGCACAAACTGCTCCAGAGAGGTAATCAAAACACAGAGAGCATGAAAAGTTTTTTCTCCTGAACACTTTGTTCATGAAGACACTCTGTTCCAGCCTTCTGCGCTGCGCTGACACATTTTATTGYCMTCGGGCTGGATTTGATTGAACTTGGCTGTTTGGACGCAGTTTACAGGAGGCTGAGTCGGGTTTCGTCACTGCGTTCAGACCTAAGTGGTGTTAAATCTGTTCCATGAGAAAATCTGGGTTGTAGCAGCGAGGCGGGCCGAGCCAAGATTCGGCGGGGTTTTCTGAGGACAGCGTTACATAACCGGGTTCCTTTCTGTTGCTCTCAGACACGTCTCTATTACTTTCAGTTTTTTTCCTCTTTATGGTTTTTCGCTTTTTTTTTTCTTCTTCTTATGAGACATCACATAGTCCATTCTTCTTTTTCTCTTTTTGTTGTTTCTTCTGACTGGTCTGCTTCTGCAGGCATGCAGAGGGCTAAAACTGAATCAAGCTGCTGTAACTTACAGACATTCCTCCAGACTCTTAATGCAGCAAACAGTCCTCAGCCTCCAGTCCAAATGCCAAGTAGGCAGTTATTCTGTTCTGCAGAACTCAACTCTGTTATAACAAAATGTGAGTCATTCATTGACTTCTTCAGTCTAACGTTTTCAATATGTGTCATGTACATTTTCGTACAGTTGTGTGTATGGCGTGCCATTTGTAAAGTTACACAGKCAAAAATTACCACCAATATTTTTGTTTTATTTAGGCCTTTCTAAGAAAAAAAGAACAGATTTATTTTTCAGAGGCGGTTTTTCACCATATGATTCATACATTTATAAATATCATAGTTTATAAACTAAATATTTAACTTACAAATTAAACATTTAAGGCTAAATATGTC